AAGATATACTCTTGTTTTTGCTCTAGAAATGTGATCTGCATTTTACTCAAAAGCTCAGGAATTGGTGATAGTCAGATATTAACATTTACATTACATTACATTTTTACTCTTCAAATTCTCTAATTTACAGCCTGGATTTCTTCATTTACAGACTGAGGGCTGACCTGTAAATATAATTAGTAACACCATGTCATCCAGAAAACCTAACTCAAAACAGCAAAGTATACCTTCTTTTTCAGATGGGTTTAAGAAAGTATTTTACTGCTAAATAACTGAAGAAATTATTTTAAAATTAAGAACGCATTAACCATTAAGAAAGCAGCAAGCGCGAGGAAAGATGCAAGTCTTCCTGGACAGAGTAGGGGTGGAGGAGGGAGCCAGCCCGGCAAAACTGAAGCTCCACGTGCTCCTGTGAACTGGACGGAGAGCAAAAAGCAGCCACAGCAAAAACAGTGGTTGAGTCTTATATTTAGTTCCTGCTTCATTCTTTGTTTAAAATTTATTTTTTGATTTTTATTTTTCAATTATAGTTGATATTCAATATTATATTAATTTCAGGCGTATGGCTTAGTGGTTAGACCTTTATAGAATTTAAGAAGGAATCCCCCTGACTAGTCTAGTACCCACCTAGCTATACATAGTTATTACCATATCATTGATTCTATTCTCTGGGCTTTACATCCCTGTGACTATTTTGTAACTACCAATTTATATGTATTTCCTTCGCCTATTTCACCCAGCATCCCAGCCCCCCTCTTGCTTCATTCTTTACATGAATTATCTTATTCTATCTCCCCAACCGTCCACTGACATAAAAAAATACAAAAATAAAAAAAGTTACAGGTGAGAAAACGAAGGCTTAAAGAGGTGAAGAAACTTGTTGCAAGACCACAGAGCTAGTTTTAGAGGCAAATCAAGCCTAGCCTTCCCTTTAACTATTCCCGGTGAGCCAGGCTTTACTGCCTGTGATGGTACATTTGAAGGGAACTCTTATAGCACCTTTCATAAGCACATCATAGCACTTCTCACATGCTGTTGTTCTGTCTGCATCTCCCACTTCAGTTATTTGGAGTTCAGCTTTCACTGCTCCTCTTACAGGAGGGACTGAATCCCCAGATGAGAGTGTTTACCTTCTGGAGGGCTTTCCTGTAAGGTTTTACTATGATCTCTAAGCCACAGAGTACAAAATGATTGTGGGTCTATCATAGTCAGGTGAGGCTAAGAATACAGTTTGGGGAAAAGAGGAAAATTAATACTGTATCTAATGTAAACGGGTTTTTGTTTTGTTTTTAATTTTTCCTGGAACACAAGAAAACCCCCAAATTTCTGAAAAATAACTATGACTAAATTGGGCCTTCCAAAGCAACAATGCTTTCTTTGAAAAAGGCATGAGGAAAAGTTTATTAAATATTTCCATAAGACTAAGTGATTAGTGTAATAAATCAATCGCATAATTAAAAGAAAATAGTTGACCCAATATGCCTGTACTAAATGGATCAGAAACTGTTTTAGAGATATGCATGCAAGAATAGCTATCAACAATATTTACACATTACTACTTAGCAATTCAGTGTTGAATCAATGTATTAAAAACATAGCTACCTCATTAAAATATAGAATTCTTATGAGAAATTTTCTGTTTTGTTGGAACAATTAAGTTTTTGGTCAGTGAAGAAACAGTCATTTTCAGAAAGGTATTTACGAATATATGCCTTGCCTAGTTCATACTAACCTTGCTCAGTGATTGTCAGCAGCTTTTCTGTGACACTTCAAGATAGGAACGAAGTTTCTTCAGAAATTGCAGGAGATTTTGTAAGTCACATTCTTATACTGATTTTCTATAATCACCCTGTTCAAAGTACAGCCTTGGATACGCTCTACAGTGGAACTCAACAGATTTAGAGCAAGAGTAATTCTGCCCCTCCCTTCTGCATTCTTTCTTCTCCTTGAGAGAAAACGTTCAGGGACACCCTTGACCGTGTATATATATGTCAACTTCCCAAGGCAAGGTCAGTTTCATTGTTCATGTGCCCTGCAATAACTGCGTCTGTTCCTTGATCAGTAAAAATTATCTGAGAAGTAGAAACTCAGTGGTAGCCATTGATCTTTGGATAAAGTTAAAACCTAAATATAATAGCAAAGAGAGGCGCTATCTTTGCCGGGTACTATTGTAGGGATGACATGAAATAGAAGAAATGACTCCTCCCATATCTAATAGGAATGTACAGTCTTAAAGGAACTTCTGAAGAAGAAAAAACACTGGGAATTTCAAGCGTCTGTCCCGATGTTTATGTTCCCCCAAATTCATATTTAAGCCCTAATCCTCAATGTGATGGTATTTGGAGGTGGGGCCTTTAGGAAATAGTTAGGTCATAGGTTGAAGCCCTCATGAATGGGATTATTGTAATGCCCTTACAAGAAGAGT